TGGGCCGGGAGGGGTTGAAGGTGTTGGGGTGCTCAGTCCCTCAGACTGTCCTGTGTGGTTTATCCGCAGCAAGATCAAGGTGAGAAGGAGAATCCCATGCGGGAGCTGCGGATCCGTAAGCTGTGCCTGAATATTTGCGTCGGGGAGAGTGGGGATAGGCTCACCCGAGCGGCTAAAGTGTTGGAACAACTGACGGGGCAGACTCCTGTTTTTTCCAAAGGTGAGGGTGTTGGTGCATGGGGGTTGGTTTGGGTTTGTTGTTTTCTAAAGTGTGGGTGCTGGGAAGGGTCTCCTTGGCAGGGTTGGGGTTTTATACACTCGGGGGTTGGTGGTGGTTTGTGTTAGGTCGGTTCTACCTCCAGGCTCGTGCTGCTGCCCTTTCCCCATCCTCATCCGTACAAGGAATGTGGAGCTGCCTCAGCTCTTCTGGAATTGCCTTCAATACCTTTGCTCTCCTGAAACTCTTGAGTCCCCTAGGTGGGGAATTCTGACTGTCGTCTTTAATTCTTGCTGCCTCCAGCTCGGTACACCGTGAGGTCCTTTGGGATCAGGAGGAATGAGAAGATTGCTGTTCACTGCACAGTTCGTGGGGCCAAAGCAGAGGAGATTCTGGAGAAGGGGTTGAAGGTGAGAAGAATTCGGGGTGAATCTTTGAGTTGTGGAGGGACAAAACTCCATCCATTCCCACCAGAGAGTTGGGTGTGCTTTGAGATGTTGCAGCTGATCTAGTCCCAGGTCAGTTGTGGATACACTTGGTACATGAGCTGAAATGTTCACAGGTTCTCTGGCTGCTTTTTAATCTGGTTTAAGAACTAGTTGTTGCTGCTGATGATTTCTTTTGGGGTTCTGTCTTTGCTGCAGGGATTTATGAGCAGTCGGGGGGGGCAAAATCTTAGGGATAAAGCCTGAGGGATGGGTGAGTTGAGGGTCTGGGCTTGTACCTCCCAGTCAGTACCAAAATTGACCCACACCAAACATTGCAGGTGCGAGAATACGAGTTGAGGAAAAACAACTTCTCAGACACTGGGAACTTTGGCTTTGGGATCCAGGAACACATTGATCTGGGCATTAAATACGATCCCAGCATTGGTATCTATGGCCTGGACTTCTATGTGGTGAGTATCCCTTGCTTCCTTCTGCTGGGATTGTGGGAACCATGGCCAGTCAGGTTGGAAAAGACCTCTGAGGTCATTGAATCCAACCCATGGCCCAACACCACCATGGCACTAAGTGCCATGTCTGGTCAGTTCTTAAACACCTGCAGGGATGTTGACTCCACCACCTGCCTGGGAAGCACATTCCAGTGTCTAATGAACCTTTCTGGGAAGAAATTTTTCCTGATGTTGGAAAAAAAAAGCTAGAAGGGGCCTAGAATGATAGGTGGCTCCCATGGACTTGCTGCTACCTGGATTTTGCTGATGTTTTGCTAATGTGAGATTCCCAGTGCTGCCATAAATCCCTGATTCATGGCAAGTCTCCCAAAGCCTCTTCAGAAGCAAATATTGTTGCTCTGTCTGCCCCAACCCTGTCACTGTTCATTCCAGGTTGGATAAAGCCTTGAGCAACCTGCTCTGGTGGGAGGTGTCCCTGCCCAGGGCAGGGGGTTGGGGCTAGATGATCCCTAAGCTCCATCCCAACCCGTTAACGTTCTGTGATTCCTGGGATAACACCAAAACAGCTGGGATGGGTTTGGGGAAGGAGCATCAGTGCCTCATATGAGACACTGATGTGGAAATTCTAGGCTTCCCTCCTGGAAAAGTGTTTAGTTTGAGAAAATCAGTAAAGAGCAGGCTGAATCAGTGCTGTTGGCCTCATCCTGCAGGTGCTGGGCAGACCAGGCTTCAGCATTGCTGACAAGAAACGCAGGACTGGCAACATTGGAGCCAAGCACAGGATTGGGAAGGAGGAAGCCATGCGCTGGTTCCAGCAGAAGGTAAAGTTCATCTTTGCTTTGGTATCCTGAGGGTTCTCAAGCAAATACCAGCAAAATGCTTCACTGGGGAAGGGCTGGAACAAGTCTCTGAGCAGAGGGAGGTCTTGATCAGGGCTCAAATTCAAGGTTTTTGCTGTCCCAGAGCAGTGGAAGCTGTTTGAGCACGAGTGTTGTTCGTGCTTGTGTCGTGTGTGCTGAGCTGAAAGAGCAGTAGCTGGAGGGGAGGGAAGTATCAGCTGCTGTGTAAATAGCTCCCACTTTTTGGAGGTGTTTGTGGATCACGAGTGATGAGGCAGGTTAGGATTTGTTGATCTGACTCAGCTCCTAGCTCAGCTGCCAGACTTGGAGGATGGAGTGATCCAAAGAAAACAAGTTCTTGGGTTTATCTGTCCATGGAATAATTGGATAGTGAGTGGGAGCTGCTGGAAGCTGGGTGGGAAATCTCACAGGTGGAAAGAGTCTTGGAGGCTCTTTACCCTGCCTGGACCTCCATGGGTCATGCCCCCCACACACAGGGCTCCAGCCTGTTCCTGCTGGATCCCTTTTCCCCACTCTTTCTTGGTTCTGCTTACTGTGGCACAGTTTCCCTCAGGGGCCAAATTTGGGACTGTAAAAGAGATGAGAATGGTCAGATCAGCCTGTGCAGGGTAAGGCTGCTGGACACAGCCCCTTGGACATTCACATGTATGCAAAGAAAAACAGGAAAACTGGTGTTGGATGTCACTGTTGGCTTGGAATGAACGTGGTGACTCAGTTTTCTGCACTCAGTACCTCTACCTGATGTACTTACTCACTTGGTTCTTTTTTTTTTCCCCCCTCACAGTATGATGGCATCATCCTTCCTGGTAAATGAGCAGTTCCTGTTACCACAAAAAGCAAATAAATTTTTATAGCACCTCATTTGTGTTGTGGATCTTTCAGAGGCTCCTCCTGAGCTGGGAAGCTGCTGGGAGCAAGGGATGCAGAAAGACATGGACTGATGGAGAGAACATGCTGTTCTCCAGGAGCAGGGGTTGGATTTACATGGATCAGCTGTGCACTGCACTGTCCAACTGCACAATGAACAGGGAGAGCTGTAACTAGAGACTGGGAAAGGGCACAGAGAGGAAAAATAGGAGTTTTGACTACTGGAGTTGTGGAGCAGAATTTCTGGAGGATTAAATTCCTGAGGGGAACAAAGTCAGTCATTGTCTGCACCTGCATCTGGTAGTTTCTACCCCACAGATCATGATGTTCTTAATGTGCTGGAGAAATCCTGAAGCAGTTACTGGATGTGCTTGGAATGTAGGGGATGAATCTAAACTGGTTTGTTAAACTGAGTGTGAACTTAACTGCTGTAATTACGCAGCCAGACAGTTTTCCTCTGCAAAGGAATGGCCTTTATTGCTGAAAGAGAAAATTCCCTGCAGCACAACACAACCCTCTGGAAGGGCAGCCAGGGTTGTAGTAAGGACTGGTGGCTGTTGCATGCAGTGACAGTGAGCAAGTGCTTGTCCCTGGAAACTCCAAAGTTTCCCAATTGTTTTAGAGGTCAGATTTGCTGTTCCAGCACCAGGGAAGTGCTGGTGGAGTGCTAAACCAAGTGTGAGCTTGATGGTACAACAGGACCTGTCTGGGATGGACCTGTGAGGGCTCCTGGTTTAGATGGGAAGGGATTCTGCTCCAGGTGATGCTTTTCAAGGCACCTTTTGCCTCTCAAATCTTCTGGAGTCTCAGCATCCTCAGGCACTTCCCCTGGTTCTCTCTGCTTCAGCTGGAGAGCAGCACTTGGAAGAGCAAGAGATCTTGCTGAGTTGCTCCAGTAGTTCT